CCTCACTGAACAGAGGGAGAGCCCCTAAATTATCAGCTTCATAAGAAGTCATGCGGTGATTACATCATCTTTGTACTTAATGTATGCCTTATAGCATAATATAGCGCGTGATGATTTACGCAGTCCCCTTAAATTCATAGATTAAGATTTGCTGAAATACAGTAATCAAATAAAAAAATTATGTGTACATAAATTGGGCGAAGTATATTACTGAAAGGGAGTAATCGGTTACAAGATGGAGGCGGTACGTTCCTCCGAAACGTCGGTTCACACAAGATCTACACGGCGCCACATCCCAGAATACGGCATTAATTCACAATCTGGCACAAAATTATAATAATCCTTAAATTCTTAATTAGGATGAAAAGTTTCTCCGGACCTTAGACTTTGACGGATTCTTTGGATTAACGCCCTAAGCTAAAGAGAACTGACATGAAGTTTGGCACACGGGGTATGAAGAATCTCTATAGGGCAGGTTCATTGGCAACAGTTGCAAGGGCAATAGCGAGCTGTAAGTGCAGGAGGTCAGATGGGACAGGGTTAGTACTGAACCAGCAGGAGATTATACATTTCTCTGTGAAAATGGAAGTGAAGAGAAGATTAATCGGGTAAATGCTTCCTTCCGAACCTTTCGTCTGTGGTCCTTTATAGGTGTGAAACTTGGTCATTGACGTGAAGGGAGGAATATAGACTGAGAGTGTTTGAGAACAGGGTGCTAAGAAGTACGTAGGTCGTACCGAAAGTCATGAGCAACTTTTTTTGCATGCAACCTGGGAACAGCAGACGAAAGAGAGTACGGTGGTAGGTGGAACCAGCTGTTGTGTTAACCTTGAGTGTCTTGTGACGTCAGTAGCTTGCATCACGTGACCAGTATCACTCCTAACAAAATGGCCGGCAACGATATGTCGTTTCGCCAGCGTGTTGTCATCAGATTTCTTGCGAAAGAGGAAATCCCTGCTGCAGAAATTCACCAGAGACTTCAGCGTGCTTATGGAAGTGTGTGCATGGGTGCGAGCAGTGTTCGAAGATGGGTGAAACATTTTAAAGATGGGAACACCAGCATCGAAGATGAGCCTCGGAGCGGTCGTCCTCGAACAGCCTCAAGAAAATTTGCAGCCCTTTGCCACAATATACTTTCTTCAAGATGGGGGCACGTGGTAGCGTAGTTTGTTGAGACGCTATGCTACAAACCTGAAGGTCGCGGGTTCGATTCCCGATGAAGTCGTTTTGTTTTTCAGTTGATCTAATCCTTCCAGTCGCATTGTGACCCTGAGGTCAAAGCAGCCTCTAACAGAAATAAGTACCCGGAATCTTTCAAGGGTTGAAGGGCGACCGGCACGTAGAGCTGGCGACCTCATCGCCATCTGTGAGCTGATTCTCTAGAAAATGCGGGAGCCTCGACGTCTCACAACCGTATGAGCCTCCACGGCCTGTTACAGGGATACCTTACATTTTTACCAGTATTACTGTGATGATAATCTGAAAAAATAGATCCTCAGACGTTGCCTATCAGGCACCGTCACTCTGATGTTTTATTTTTCTTAACAAATGCCTTAGTGGCACTAAGTTTTGCCCATGTGTCTTCTAAACAGTCGGCTTTCGGTGTTCCTACTCGGAACATAAACAACTTCAGTTGTTCTGCAGATACTGCCCTGCAGCTCGATGTGTTTCTGTTGCAGATACAGCCCCTAAATCTGCGGATATCTTCAGAAACTCGGTTTTAAATGTAAACAGCTTTAACTGATCGCCGTTTCTTTGTTCCTATATGTTTCGTCCCGTGTTTTCTTATTGCTGCTGGTGTTTGTATCCGTGTTCGTGTTTGCTCTGTAACTGGCCACTGGCTGTTGAGCTCAGCACGTAAATAAATACTGGATTAGTGTGTTCATGAGATTCTCAAAATCAGCGACGTTGTGCAAGTTTCATACATACCTTTGATATGGATATGTATGAATTTCATTGAGGACACCAGTGTTTAGGGGAAATGCTTGGCAAGATACTCCTAAAAGCGAACTTATGTAACGCGAGCCCAAAAATGAATGAAAGCGAGCGACAAATATGGCAGTGTGCTTACAGTAGAAGTGATGTGTATTGAGTTTCATCAAAATCTGTTGAAGCACACGGAAAGTAAGTGTACATACGTATGAAATTTAATTTAGGCCCATGGGTGCGTGGTCATAAAATGGTTTGCATGCGGTATACCCATATAAGTGTCATATACCAATTTTCAGAAAATTCGAGCAAAAAGACTTCAAAAGTGTATTTATATGCAAAGGCTGTAATAAATAAGATGCCAAGAAAAAAGCAGGATGTATATATAATTCAGAAGGTCAAATTGCCCTTCTAAATCAGACATTGTTGTTACTCCACCCGTGTGGAGGCGGGGGTCGAATACCTCCACCGTGACCCTGCGAGTCGTAGGAGGCGACGAAAAGGGAAGTCTCAAATTTGAGACAGTAATATATGGTTTCGAGTACCAAGGGACTCGGACCCGAGAAATACTGCGCTGGCAAGGACCAGGAGCATATACAAAAGACAGACCTGCCCTCTCGTCAGAGAGGGCGCCCACAGAAACAAGACCATAACTATGAAACAGTAATAAATATCTGGTCATGAGCCCCAGGAGGGTTCTCGACACAAAGATTTACTGACTGACTGGCCGTCAGTTGCAATGTGACTTTGACTTTGACCAGACAGTAAAAGGTGAAAGGTTTATACGTGCTGAAAGGAAACTGGAGTTTCATATCTGAGACAGTAAAATATGGTCGCGAGTCCCAAGGGACTCGGACCCGAGAAAGACTGCGCTGGCAAGAACCAGCAGCATATATAAAAGACAGACCCGCCCTCTCGTCAGAGAAGGCGTCTTAGAAGAGCAAGACCGTAACTGTCAAACAGTAACAAATATCTGGTCATGAGCCCCAGGAGGGGGTCGACACCAAGGCTTACTGACTGACTGGCCGTCAGTCACAATGTGACTTTGACCAGACAGTGGCATGATAACGAAGATGTTAACACAACATTGGACAAGGAGAAGCCAGACATAGAAAGTATAAAAGGCTTAAACTTGGCGGCGGTCAGGCATACGACCGTCCAAGTGACTAGACTACCGTGGTAGCGAATACTACAATACTTGTACTAGAAATAGGGCATACTCTGCTGTACTGAGACTGGACTGACAGAGGCCTTGTATATATTGTACATAGAATTAGAAAGTAAGATTAAATTTGTAAATACTGACAATGGACTTACTAATATAGGCTATGACAGACAAACGACAGACCCGACCTCTCGTCAGAGAGGGCACCCCAAATGGACAGGACAGTAACTCTCATATAAGGAGAAAGAAGACCATCAGTCGCAATGTGACTTTGACTTGAGTTGACAGTTGATAGTTGAAGTCTAGCAGTCGCCGAGAACAGTTCAGTTTGCATTTGTCTGTAGCAGAAGCGGTAATTGTCATACCGAAAGCGATAATACCTATACTCGCTAGTGTAAAAGTGAGCGTTCGATAGACATATTCGCCAAATGCAAGACCTGCGTTAATTTATTTGTCCCGTTACATAGGCAACACGCGACAATATTATCAATAACAGACTAAACACGATAGACTGAAACAAAAGACTGCGCGCTTGTTCATGACCTAATGCATAACTTACGTTCATGCAACGTGTTCACGCTCAACATTTCATTGCCGCAGTAACGTGAAATTGTGTAATGACAAAGATGAATGTCACGCTTACGGATTTGATCATTGCGTTGCCAGGCAACACGGACCAACACGCAACAATAGAGGAAGGTGTGTTTTCTGTAGAGCCGACCGACGCACCAGTAGACTTGCTGGATAGTGATCACGCGATATGTGTTTACTGTAGGTCCATGTCCGTTCCGCGGACATCTCGTCAGAGAGAATGTTACATAAGGACTGTTACCACAAGAGTTCAGTCGGAAAAAAGAATCTCTAGTCGTGGTCCTCAAGGGGCTTGACGCCAAGACGAACTGATTGGCGGTAAACCGCCAGTCGTAAACTAACTGTCTGACTCTGACTCCTTCAAGGCAGTTACGAATCAGCCGTGGGCTGGGGAAGTGAGTCCAGAAGAATTTTTAGTTCCGAACCAGAGTTATTGAAGACGAAATTGCAAGAAGACATAGTGATTGAAGTGCTAATTTCTGTGTTGAGATAACAGAGTGCGTGTGCAGTGGTGAACTGGAAAGTGTGTAAGTCAGCGATAGCGCTGTATTAATTGTAATTAAGAGAGAGAGTGTAACCGGAGTGCTAATAAATCCAATCATTCTAAGTAGAACCCATTATTTTCGTCACGCGTACCACCTTACACATGACAATATGCACAATTTCACAATTTGAGGCCAAAATAATCCACGAGTGACATTCAGAGACTTAAATAATAATGTCAAAACTTTTAAATTGGTTCAGTTGTCGTACATGACTGCTACATGCAGCAAATTAACAAAAATTCTTGTATACCTGATTAGTTTTCCTCAGTAATGCAAACCTCTCGATGTAGGTCTGTAACCTGAATAGTACTTAGCAATAACACGTTATTGTGGACTACAAAATGCCTAATTTTCTCGCCTTTTGGGGGCGGATTCTTTTGGTGTACCTCGCATGTGTGGTGATGATGTAGCTAAAAAAGTTCGCAATTTTTTGCACTCTGTGAATCACTTTCCATCTCAAAGTGGCATATCTAACTTAAAAAAAAACCTGAAAATAAAATTGATCTTCATAAAAGTCTGTGCATTTGAACGAGTGGGAAAGTAGTTTCCAAGCTGGTGTGATTTCAAGAATTCGAGGGTTATTTCAAAGAGAAATATACAGAGATAGAAAATTTATGTTTAGAAATGGAAGCTTAATGTCTTAAATTTATTTCCGTACTATATGTACGTATTTTGTTGAATAATCCTGTCTGCAATACACAGAATGTTTCTGGCTGTGAACTACATATGAATGTGATGTGACAGTAATTTCTTTGTGTGTGTTTCAACAGTCATCAGGAAGCAGAATACCCTGGTGTGTCAGTTCGCTTCGCCTCTGGATGTGAACATGCACGACAAGCCCGAGGTGAGTCATTACACTTGTGGAGTCTCTCTCTCTCTGATTGAGAAACCCCTCAGGTTCTACTCATCATGTGCTCTCGGCAAACAATTTAATGGAGCCAGTCTGGACCAAATACAGACAGAGCAGCTTGACACATCTTGCGTGATCGCTGTTTTTTTTGGGGGGGCGGGGGGGAAGGGGGGTCTTTCAAAGACTCTGTCCGTGTTTGGAAACCCTTTGCCACATTTTGTAACTTTATAGTTTTTGGAGAGTTCTTTACAAAGAGAAACAGGCCCCCTTACTTGGAGGCCATGTCTGATTGCTACTTAGTATCATGGCTTAAATTATTGGAAAGATGATCATAAAATTTTATGCAGAAAATTTACATCAAAAGATGTCAAGTAAGTCCAGTTGACTGCCCCATTGTCGCATATAATGTGTGACTATAGACAGGGTTTTGGATTGGATATTGGATTTATTTACCACCTGAACACACAACTCGTAATTACATTTGATTGCAGTACCATCTCGAATTTCCACACATTAGAAATCACCGCAGCATCAGCTAAGTCTTTTCCTAACTGTTGTGTCTTTATCAACCTTTCCTTGGTAACGGCCTCTAACAATGGCTGTTCCTCTGCTTCCTTGCTCAGGTCCTGCCTGAACGGTGGCTCCCTTCTAACTGAACTATTCTTGTTTCAGTTGACCTCCTTATAACCCTTCTGCGCGGACCGAGTATAGGATACTGTTTCCAATAGTACCTCTATTGTTGGATGCGTATCCTTCTCCGCAGGAACGTGTTTACCGAGGCGTTGCTTAGAAACGGCTTTACAGGCTGCAGTGAAGCCTGTTTACGTAAGGCAAAGAATTTTTCCCTTTATTCTCTAAACCTTTTCACAGATTCTATTGAAATTCGGGTTGGGGATTTCACTGAAACTTGTCAGGGAATTTCGTTTTGTATCCGTACTCATTCATGAGAAGGCTCGATTTAAATATGACTTTAAATGTACGTTTCCATGAATCTCTCTTCCTCGGAGTTTTCGAAATTCGATATGGTATACTTCCACTGACTTGTATTTCATTGTAACCATTTTTAAGTAACTTCAAATAAGGATGTTGATAGTTATACTGCGTTATGGCTTATAAACCCTTTAGCCCTGTTATGCTGAAGGGTTGTTGGCTCTCTTCCACACCCCCAAATTTGACAACCACTTCCTTGCTAATGGAGAAAACTACATAGCAAGGAGCGTTATAATTTCTGTCCTTCACTATAAATATTAAGACAATAAAATCATTCAGGATGAGATGAGTGGAACATGTGGCATGCATTTAGAAAATGTGAAATGGCGTTAGAAGTTTTAGTCAGGAAACCTAAATGGATCTTAGAAAAATGCCGTATTACTTCGAATATAAGACTCACATTTCACGGCCCCCCCACGGAGAAAATTCGAGGAATATGCACCTTTTAACCCCCCCCCCAGATCGCGCCTTAGCTCAAGCGATTAGTCGCTGGCTTCCCACCGCGGCGGCCCGGGTTCGATCCCGGGTCTGGTCAGGTGGGATTTGTAGTGGACAGAGTGGCGCTGGGGCGGGTTTTCTTCCGAGTACTTCGGTTTCCCCTGCCAATCTTCATTCCACCAAATTCTCCATCATCATAATCACCCGGGGCAGGCTACAATAGGCCAGTCAATGGCCGCCGTGCCGAGTNTCTGGATTCCATAAATGGCTGGGAGTTTCTTTGTCTGCTGAATTATCATCATCGCATGAAGGCCTGTGCTGTGAACATTGCCCAGTGAACAGGAACAGTATATAAACCGTGGTGTCTATAAGTTAGGAAGTTGGTTGTGGCAGGCTTGTTTTCCTATATTTCAGAGACACTCCAGTTTCCATGCTTAAGTGAACAGCCTCATATGGGGCAGAAATGCGCATGATTTTTGTAAATTGCTGGCTGCTGTTGGTCGTACAGTTTCTCCGGGTACTCGAAATATCGTTTTCCCATAATACCATGCTGCAATACTCTGATGGCCAGATTTATAGGTCATATAATGACCGTTCACAATAAAAAAAACTTATATTTTTATTATATGTTAGTAACGTGGTTGTTATATAATCAATAGAAAGACACAAAACAGGATGGATATAAAAAATGACTAGGTTTTGCTTGCAGTTTACTATGCGTAGAAGGACAGGTCTGCAGTGTCTTTGAAACATAATTCAAACCTATCGGCTGCAATGTAGTACCACACCAACATAGATGAATAAATAAGCTTCACTTTATTCCAAGAATGTAATGTATTAGGAAATGTTTACTGAGCTGTGTCACATATCAGGCAGTGCCATGTCTTACCACAGAGGCACAGAGTAAATCCGAGCAGTCCATTTGAGATTCCTCGTGAACAACATAACATGATCACGCTTTCCATGCCATCTGCCATTCTACTAATGCTTCATGTTTGTCTCCCTCTGGGACAGGCCTCCCATGTCACAAAGTTGTTATTATTCAATTGCCACTCCATATTCAACAATCGTTGACCCATGCTGGTATCGTATTGTGAGGTATAGACCCATTGCTGGTCAACGACGTGGTAAACCATCCCCGCGCAACAATAGGACATCGAATCAGTAAAGAAGCTTTCTCAGTAATATAAATGCTGTGTTTTGTGCATGGTCCGTGCCGAGGGTCTGTAAAGGGGCAAATAAGGTCGTTTGAGTCACTCGGAAGTAAAGAGTCGAGTTTCGAGATGCCAGCATACCAGGATATGAGCCTGGGAGCAGAGGAGTTGAACTGAGTCGAGTCTTCAGAATCGGCAGTTGCAGAATAATGGCAAGAAAGGAATTAGGCGGTGCCAGGAACACTTCATGTGTGATTTGAAGTTACAGTGAATCTGTTGTAACTCCGTTGCCAGGATACGACCAGTGACAACTAAAAATCTTAATGCATGTGTAACGGTGAACTGCAGATTGTTTGTAGTAACGATAGCACTGTATTACCTGTAATTCTGAGTTGTGTGAATGTGTAAGGAGCAATAAATCCAATCCAAAACCCCTCTTTAATCACCCCTACACATGACAGTATGGACACATTAGGTGTATATCAAATAGGACGTATTAAAGAAAGAAAATTTGTATTACCGTAAAAACGATGTTTATACAGATCATCATATTGACTTTGTCAGAAAGGAAAATTGCCTGAAATGTCCGACAGTTTAGCTTCTGTCCAGAAGTTTAGGTTAATTAACTTGATGGGGCTGTTTAACTGTGTGTCCTTCATATTTATGTTCCTCGCAGTAATGTATGTGGTATTTTCAGGCAGTGGTGTTGGAAGGAAAATATTGGAAGCGCAAACTAGCAGCGGTTACCGCAGAATACAAGAAGTGGCGAATGTTTTACCGCAACAAGTTGATGGGCTGGACAGCCAAAGATGGCAACGACATGGTATGTATTTCATGATCAGCTCCTGTGGAATGTTCCTAGCAGCCGGAAAGTATGTGTGTATTGTATTGCAGCGTGTATCTTGATCCGGAACAGTTAATATCGGATTGTGACTTAGGATTTGAGGTTCTCACAGCGACGGTAAGAAGATGGAACTCTTCACTTAAGATCTTGATATCAGCTTATCCACTCCACCGCAATTTTACTGTACGCCACTGCACTCTCTTCTTTGTCTTGCAGTCACTGCACTGTCGGCTTCACGTCTAGCTGTACGCCGCTTCTAAGCTCACGATCAGATTCAACTCTGCTGCCTTCTCTTTGCCTTAGAAGCAAGGTCATATTTCTAGAAAGGGCCAGTTCACACGCGAGAGACGTGCACTGTAATTCTGGAAGCTACGAAAAGAGGAGGGAGGTCAGAAAGTTAGATGAACGAGTGAAGTGCGCATGCTCACCAGTGACCCGCTTCCTCACCCCCCTCCCACTTAATTAAGTTGGTTCGGCACTGCACTCTCTTTAAGATTACTAGTCCCTAATAGCACGTAGATATGGTGCCAGTGTATCCAGGTGGATCACCGACGTCTTTGCCTTTGTATGACGCTGGATCCTTCAGGCTGAATCCTTGATCTGTGTGATCACCTTGTACGGGCTCTCCCAGGATGGCTACAGCGTAGGGGACGTTCTCCAATTCCGGGTCGGGCGATGCAACAAGACCTGGTCTTCTTCCAGGCATTAAGCTAATCTGACTTGGCGGTCGTAGCGGACCTTCATCCGGTCGCAGGTCTCGGCGATCCCTTCAAGCGCTGTTCCCTTCCCTAAACTGGTCAGCAGGCCCATGCTCTGGGTTTGGGGACCTCGATGTGCTGCGCAGGTGTCCCACTCTATGCTTCGCCCCTCGCATGTAGCCGGTAGTACCGTTCTCTGACTTTTAGGGGTTTTGTTCACCCCCAGATGCCATCTCGAAAATCCGACGTGATGCTCTTGGAGTATTTTACTTTGTTCCCGGGTAGCTATATGTGGGCTAGCTTGGAACGACCGTTGGCCGGCTCCAACTTACGTTTCACGGTATCTCTCACCACCAGGGAGTTCCACTGAGCCCAGTAACTATTGTAGGTGGCACTGCGGTCGGCGATGTTCTTCCATTTGGGACGCTCTCCAGCCTCCATGCCTCTTAGAATCGGCATTACGTCATAATAGAGCTGTCCACTCGGTGGCACGGCCTCAGCCACCTGCGGCGGCAGAAGTGATAACTTACCTTCCGGCTGCCTGACTGTCATTCGATTTTCCCAAAGTGAATGTAGTATTCGAGGTACGGTCGTCTAGAAAGCGCGTCGTCGCTTTTATTGCACCCGCCCCTGGCAATGTTCATCCCTCCTGGCAGGTGTCTGTTGTCGATATTGACCCAGTGTCCTGTTCACTCCTCGTTGGGAAACCATCGAACTTGATCAAAATTTGCTGATCGTCGCCTCCATGGAGCCGTACACCTGATCAGTTACGACTCTCACACCGAGGGGATATTGCCCCGTCGCTGGCCTTCGTATGGACAAATGATTGTTGTTCCCCACGACACCATAATGACACTTCTTCGTGCAGTAATAGCACAGTGCTTCAAATCCACGGCCGCATCCTAAGCTCTCGGGACATCCGGCCCCAGGATGAATTCGTCTGTGATCTTAGCGACGAAAACCCGGATGTATAGCGCGCTTCATCCCAGAGCCAGCTCCACCAGCGCCTCCCCGGACACCGCTTGTAGAACATATGGCCGACGGCTTTCTCACCTCTGCTCGCTATTCTCTTGGGTCTAGTGATATTCACATGCATCGGTCTTCATTGTCACATGGCATGGCTTGTCTGTATCTAGCCTTTGGCGGTTATGCTGTAGGGGATGAGGGTGATGACGCCAACGGCCCGTATTTCACGCCGGCTCATACTCGTTTTCTGTGTCCGGTTTTCCTCGTCCTTTCTTTGTTGACAGTCTGATCTGAAGTGACCCGACGTCTCCTCGCTTCTAGTATACAAGTCGTTTAGCCCCGCGGCGCTCGGCCACCTACGTGTGTGTTCTCATGGGGGCTCCATCGCTTTCCCTCCGCAGCGTCTCTGTTGGTCTGGCTGCCACTTTTGCACAGCCTCTAGGTGCAGGGCCCGGTACCTGTTACCGCCCTTAAGGAGTTACCGTTTCACATCCGTACCTTAACTCCATCAATGAGTCCATAGGCTGCGTCCCCATGGATGAGATCTCGGCAAACCTGACGGGGACCCAGTTTGTCCGCAGCCTTACGGCCGCAGCGAATTTCTATGGCCACTCACTGCCCAGCAGATCATGGCTTTGAGTTCTGACTGGTAGTTCACCACCAGGTAGTGGGGGCTGTGTATGGCGTCGACGTTTTCACCGTGCAGGACAGCCAATGTAAATGTGGTCTTCTCTTGGTCTGCCCAACAGATGTGGTAATACACGACCTCAGATTATTAGTGGAACACTGTCCACAATCCAGATTCACCATGGCAGCGCAGATCCGTGTGTTTCCACTGCCTCCACGTCTATTCTGCGCTGGGCGTTTACTGCCATCAGCTGCTTATCAAAATCCCAGTGTGTGGCTTACATGTAGTGTCAAGTTGCCTCCGCATTGAGTTGCATCGCTCTTATGTCACGTCATTTGCATCTTAGTTCCCACTCCACAGACACTTGTCGAGCTCCTGAATCACTGCCATGACACCCTTTCAGCTGTCTAGCCTGTCGCTTTTTCTCTGATTTGGTGTGGGCAGCCTCTATGTCATGTATTTCACTTTTATTTCTTTCTTCAGTTATTCCTGGCTGTTGCTTATGCTATTTTTAAGTTGTCTTTTGGGTGGCCGCCAGTTGGACATGGCAGGCATTTATCTTATTTAACTGCTCCAAAGCTACTTGCAGTGTGGGTTCCAAAAGCACAGATAAACACCTAAGAGATTCCGTGGTGTCACAACCCATAACACCACTATGTTGATTCTTTTTGTCCCATTTGAGAAGAGAATTTGATTTTATATAAAACTAACATGTTGCTACATATGTTGATACACTCCTTCATGATTCTGTTAATGTCTTCTCCTTCAAGACACCGATATTTCATAAGAATTTTATTTAGTATAGCTGTGCCCAGCCACGCCTTGCTGTGGCTCAGTCTGCCCGTTCTTCCCCAGTTTGATTTGAAATTACTCGACGCATTGCTTCCCCTCCATGAGTACGACGACCTAAGTTTCATCTTCTGTGAGGCATTATTTGGATAACTAAAGCAGATAGATTGCACTGATGAAGCACTGAAGAAAACGAAATGAAAAACAATGAAAAATAAACTATACTCCAGACTCACTTCCTCGGCACTAATTCCAGAGTGAACCAGTGACTTACAGTTTCCATTCGTGTGCGCTCTCTCTCACACACACATGTGCATGCGCACGCACACACAAAAAACAGAGTGAGCCAATAGGAAGTAAGACAGGGATAACTAGAACTGGCCTTGAAAAGGGCTGCTAGTGCAGATCTGTGGACATGAGTAAGGGTCTGATAGGCAGAGAACTGGGGAGGATTTGAGAGCAGTCTCACATAGGTTGTAGGCATGCGGTGGTAGATAGAAAGTAGAAAGTGCAAATGGAGTGGAGGGAGACCAGGACAGGAAGGAAAGACTTTGGGTCTGATGGGTGCCCGGAGAGGGCAGAGTTGGTTCCCTGATAAGGGTGGTCCGTATGGACCTACGTGACTTGGTGGTGAATGAATCTATAGAATCCTGTGAGAAACTCGGCTCCTACTTATCGTGACATATTTTGAAATTGGCAGTTATATTTTTGGTTCATGACAAAAAAAATTGATGTCACTGAGGAAACAAGATGGTCTGAACCCATCAGCTGACTGATCAAGGTTCTATGGGTGCCCTGGAACATTACTGAAGATCAGCAATGTGCTTGTCTGACAGGAGTGTTGCTGGTAGACTGACGCTGTCGAGCAATAATAAGTGACTCATATGCGACATGTGAGACAGGTGAGACACAGCGAGGGATACAAGAACCAACAGTGGGTACAGAAACATTGGTCAGAATTGCTGGGTTTTCAGACCTTGTCCATCTTCCATTATTCTAAAAACCAGAAAACACAAGGTTTCAGAAACTGGGCTCTTTCTAAGGGAACCAAAAGAGTATGTGTCTCCCTACTCACCCTGAGGACAGAAACAGATCCATTTTCCAAAATGTTGTGTTTTCTTCTTTTTAGAATACCAGACAATTACAAATTCTGAATACCCAGTAATTCTGAGTCTTACACACCATCGTCAAAACCGTTTAGAATCTGCTAAAAACAGAGGTGTCAAACAGTGGACAGCAGACATTAGAAACAATTTATTGGGAAACTAACAAACACTGAAGTTCCATAGTGTATACATTTCTGATTTGCTCTTACTTCATAATAAAAATGTAGTTAGGGTTTGACCCAATTCGCTGCTTTTTAACTTAATCATACCAGCCTGGCTTAGTTAACAGAGATCACTGCATATACTGCCACTATCAGGTGCAGGAGAGGAAAGACTTAGACACTGTTGGAAATAATAGTCACATTTATTGTAACATCTTTCAAACTTGGCTGTGCATTGTTTTTAGATTAATTTTGCAACACATCGCTTTCTTGGCAACTCCATTTGGGATGCCACAAGCTGGTTCAGGTCCTGTGAATGGCTGTTCAGATCCTGTTCTTGCCAGTTCATCTGCGGTTTCATACCCAGCAGTACTCTCCTACTGAGATGCAGCAAGCTGGTTCAGATCCTATGAACGGCTGTTCAGGTCCTGTTCTTGCCAGCTCATCTACGGTTTCTGTACTGACTCTTTCCTTATAATAAAAAAAAAACATTGAATTTGTATGCAACTCTTTAGTGTCAGCTGATATTCAAATCTCTGAGAAGTCGAAATTGTACACTGAGTGAATAAGCAATCAGCATCAAAGCTTTGCTGTTGATTAATATTACATGCAGCAAAAAAAAAAAATAATTATACGAGGGGGTGCCCAAAAGAAACTGAACTTATTTTTTTTAACTTATTTATTCAAATTTTAAGCACAAACCTTCAATCCCCTTCAAAGTACTCTCCACTTACACTAATACACTTGTCTAGTCTTTTATTCCATTTTTCAAAACATTGTCTAAATTCGTCTTTTGAGATACTTGACAGCGCCTCCGTCGTTTTTTCTTTCCTTTCATGTCTCTTTTCATTCGAGGAAACAAAAAAAGTCACACGGGGCAAGGTTGGGTGAGTATGGAGGTTGAGGAACAGGGGTCATACCATTTTTGGTCAAGAATTGTCATACAGACAGGGCTGTATGAGCAGGGGCATTGTCACGATGGAAAAACCAGTCACCCGACTGCCACAAATCTGGCCGCTTAGCCCCAAGTCACTCCCGACAGCTCCACAATTTCTTTAATGGTCCGTCGTCGATCTTCCTTGATGATTTCACGAATTTTTTCAACATTTTCATGTGTTCGGGCCGTGGAAGGACGACCAGAACGAGGTTTGTCATCAATTGACATTTCACCATTTTTGAAACGGGAAAACCACTCAAACACTTGAGTTTTCCCCATGGCATCGTCCTTGTACACCGTTTTTAACATTTCAAGAGTTTCTGTTCCACTTTTCCAAGCAAAAAGCAGAATTTCACCGCCGCACACTGTTCACGAAAATCAGCCATTGCAAAAACGACGGTCACACAAAACAGTTGTCACTATAAACTCTGCCGAAAATAGTCTTTACCTTCTGAAGCTTATCGAATCAGGAATGTTAGCTCTATGCGCTCATAGCGGCAAAACGCGGTACTACAAAAGCTCTGCCCACATAAAAATTAGTTCGGTTTCTTTTGGGTACCCCATCGTGTGTAACTTGATGAAATGCTTCAAAACCATATTGTAATGAAGACCGAAATAAATCTGAATTCATTGCAGTCCCAATTAATCTTTTACTTCATTTTATTTGTTTTCTTGTATCCTAGTCTATTACAATCAAACATTAAAATGACTGGCAACACAGAACTAACTGACTGACTGACTTAATTTCATGGAGCCGAGTCCTTCTTGAGAAGCCACTAATTGTTCAGCTACTCAAGAACTTACTAGCATTTTATGTATCCTGAACCAGCTCAGTTCACTCCATACCACTCCATCCTGTCTCTAAGATCCATTTTAATATTATCCACCTATGTCTTGGTCTTCCTGGTGGTCTCTTTCTTTGTGGCTTTGCCACCAGTATTCTGTATGCATTCCTCTTGTCCCTCATTCATGTTACATGCATCTGCACATCATCCTTCTTGGCCTGATCATTCTAATTATACTGGGTGAAGAGTACAAGGCAACACAGTTATATTTTAATTAATAATGGATTTGTATAAATGTGGAACTATCAATTAAAGTGGGAGCAGCTGCTGAGGAAGTCACAGAATGAAGAGTTTGGTGGTTATGATGAAAGGTGTATGTGTAACATGTCTGTTTATGGTCTTCTGTTGCAGATAACGGATGCGTTCGACTGGCAGCCACACAGCAATGACAGTGTTCATTCAGTTGGCTCCATGATGGTGGATGAAGACTACATGGAGTTCATGTCAGACACACTTTTCTCTACTATCTCAGCCAATCAACCATTTGCCTTTCCTGATCCGCGTGAAATAAGTGAGTAGTAGACATTGCTCTTCTTTGTGTAATATCTGTTTATTTAGATGGACCTACAGTTCTTGTCAGTCTGCTGACTGCTAGTATGTGCTGCAGGGTGTACTTGTCCTGTTGTTCTTATTAATACCAGTACTGGTGAGATCTGTTCGATATGTGTAAAGTGCACTTATACTAGATATGGTGCTGACATGCTTGTTTCATGGTGCCAGTTGACTGTCACGAAACTTCTGAACTATGCGTGACAGAACTTTACCTAAACGCATTTAGTTAGATAAAAAGAAACAGTGCATCTCTATAGTTGACCTAACTGTAAAGGCATTTCCCTGCCAGCCTTGTTTTGTTACCTAAGACAGACTGAGTCTGGAATGTTATATAAATAATCTGAAATCCAGACAAGTAGGTACTGTCCAGGGAACATCCTTATAGTTGTTACCACTACTGATAGAAAAGTATGATGCAGCTCTTAACATGTGGCAGCACTCTTGTGGCATGGCTAAGGGTCACCCGTGGCAGCACTCTTGTGGCGCGGCTAAGGGTCACCCACTGTAATATAGTGTGTCAGTCAGTAAGTACGGTAGATACTTATGTGAACCACAGTGGAAACATTGTCATCTGGGAAGATGTTTGATTCTCCATTTAGTTAATTGTTGTTTGACAACTTTTATTTATTGAAGTTTTCTTCCTCCTCTTTTTTGTTAAGGCATTTCATGCCTCTCTGAAATTGCGTTCTGTTGTCACAAATATTAATATAAAACCATTATAGTTGTATTAAAAATATTTTTTGGTAATGAAGTATTGATTTTTCTTTTGGTGATTCTTCAAGTAATATATTGAAGACAATGAAAGTGAAAGAATATTCTGCATGCTTATTTTTAGGTTACTTAATTACACATTTCAAATTTGTAGGTTATGTAGCACTCAGGGCACTGTATGCTTTGAGTAATGCGTAACAACATTGCTGATGCTTGCAGTGACAATAAAGAACTGACTGAAAGACTAATGAGCATATCATATTATTGCAGCTCGTAATGCTGGCGGTATTGCAGATTTCATTCAGCCCAGCCTTGTTCAGCTCCAGCCAAATCTTGAAGACTTCATGGATACTTTGGAACCTCTTCAAGGCAAGGATGCTCATTGAATTTGAGGTTGTCTTGACACTGACTATGAGGAGTATGGTTTTCTGAGTTGTAATTCTGTGTAGTTTGGAGAAAGTCTAACATTTTTGAGGACTGTAGCACCTCTGTCTTCAGGGTTAAGGAGTAAAGCAAGCAAGAAACAGGCAGAAGCAGGCAGCAAGTTGAGTAAAACATTGGACATCACAGAAACTACACAACTTTACAGCCTAGGAGACTATACTCTTCAAGTATACATGTTATACGCTCATTTGTATGTTGTGAGTTGATGTAAGATAGGAGATAGTAAGAGAGTGAATTCTTTGGCTTTGACACATAGATCACATTTAATATACTAAGGACTGACCATATGGTTGCCCATATCACTTAGTGCTCTGAACATTGTTTAAGAAAAACTGATTTTTACAAAAAGGAATGAGTCAGGATTGCATAACCTTTTCAGTGCCATGCCTCACCATTGAACTATGTGCTTAAAGATTCCAAGGCTGTTTATGGTTAAATTCAGTGGCACAGAAAATCCCACAATACTTCCTGAGTTTACTTTCAAATGACCACCGGTATAGATAGAATGAAAGCCTGTTCTTTCCTCTAAAATTTGGTATATCATGCTTGATTCTGTCTGTTGACTGAACTGATGTACTGAGCAATTAATGTTAGGTCAGTCTCTTCAGATACGGAAATTTTAATGGCTAATGGCATACAGATGTTTTGAAAATGTGGTACAGTTCAGATATTTGGGAACAACGATAAGAAATCAAAACCTGATTCAGGAGGAAATTAAGAGGGGATGTAGCTCAGGTAACGCTTGCTACCATTCAGTCCAGAACGTTTTGTCTTCTTGTCTGCTGTCCAAAAACATAAAAATTAGAATATACAAAACTATAATTTTGCCTGCCATTCTGTATGGGTGTGAAACTTGGTCTCTGATATTAAGGGAGGAGCACACTGAGAGTGTTTGAGAACAGGGTGTTGAGGAGAATATTTGGACCAAAGAGAGATGAAGTGATAGGAGGTTGGAGAAACTGCATAAAGAGGAGCTTCATAACTTGTACTCTTCTCCAAGTATAATTAGAATGATCAAGTCAAGGAGGATGAGATGGACAGGCATATAGCATGAATGGGGGAGAAGAGGAATACATATAGGATATTGGTGGGAAACCAGAAAGAAAGAGACCATGGGGAAGACCAAGGCATAGGTGGGTGGACAGTATTAAAATGGATCTTAGAGAGATTAGATGGGATGGTATGGATTGGATTGATCTGGCTCAGGATAGGAAGCACTGGGGGGCTCTTATGAACGAAGTAATGAACCTTCTGATTCCATAAAATGCTTGAGTAGCTGCACAATTGATGGCTTCTCAAGAAGGCACAGCTCCGAGAGTGAATGGCATACAGAGAGTTAACTGATTCCCATGTCTGAACAGTTCAGAAGTCTTGAGTGTAAAGGAATGTACAGAAACATGCATTATTTTTTTACATTTACACTGTTTACATTATTGTTAGTGTAACACTATTACTAAGATATGTGTTAAGGTACAACCTTTTTCCATAAAGTTCTGAGACTGATTTGATATCTCGGCTTAGGTAAATGGCAGCAGTTCCGGGAAAGGTGTTCTAAATACGGAACATTTTATGGCTTGAAAGTGTTATTGACATTAGTTCGCTCGACCTCTGCTAGGATGCAGGGCGCGGTGGAAAACCCATGTCAATTATCAGTTGTGAATTGTTGCTGTGAGAAGAATGAACGTTCAATTTGAGCAGCGAGTTAACATGAAATTTAAGGCCGCGCCATAGCTCAAGTTGTTAGACACTGGCTTCCCACCGCGGTGGCCCGGGTTCGATCCCAGGTCTGGTCAAGTGGGATTTGTGGTGGACAAAGTGGCCGTGGGGCAGGTTTTCTCCAAGTACTTCGGTTTCCCCTGCCAATCTTTATTCCACCAATTGCTCCACAATCACCCTCACCTATCATCTGGGGCTGGTACAATAGGCCAGAAGTGCCCACAGTACAGAGGACTTAGTCCCACCCCACTAGCAATAAGAAAAAACATCAAATTTTGTGTGAAGCTGAGCAAGATGGCCACAGAGACATTGCAGCTTCTCCATGATGCCTACGGCAATGAAGCTTTATCTCGGGCGTGAGTGTTTAAGTGGCACAGGCGATTCGTGTTGGGCAGGGTGTTGGTGGAGGATGACACAAGATCTGGCTGGTCTTTGAGTTCCCAGGACGAAGACAACGAGGTTCACATCAGAGACATGGGAAGACCATACTGTTACAGTGCGCGTGTTAGCTGATGCCCTGAATATCAATAAGTCGACCTGCCACCAAATTCTGCAAGAGGACTTGGTTAAAAACTCAATGCCACACACACCCAGGATCAGAAGTAGGTGTGAGCTTCAGTTTGTGCAGATTTCTTACATGAGGCACAGAACAATTCCACGTTCATCAACAGTATGATTTCCAAGGATGAATCATGGTGTTTCCAGTACGACCTTCAGACGAAGAGACAAAGTGTCAGATGACAGTCAGCGGGTTCTCCAACGTCAAAGAAAGTGAGGCGGCAGCCATCAAAAACAAAGACTATGATAATCGTTTTCTTCGATGCCAGGGGTATTTTTCATCACGAATTTGTTCTGCAAAGGCAAACTGTCAACCAAGAATTTTCCATGTCCGTACTCAGATGTATGCGTGAGGCACTTCAGAGTTGTCGTCCAGACGTATTGGCGTCTGGACAGTTGACTTTGTTGCATGAAAATGCGAGACCACGCACAGCCCTAAGTGTCAACAGATTTCTCGCCAAACACAACATTACTATGCTTCAACATTCTCTGTACTCCCCTGACCTCTCTCCATACGATTTCTTCTGTTTCCACAACTGAAAGAATGCTAAAAGGATGGCAATGTGAGAATACAGGGGATATTCAAGTGGCTGCAACAACAGAGCTCACAGCCATTCACCAGCTTCTTCCAGGACTTGCCGAAATGCTGGCAACAGTGTATTGACTGAGGAGGAGACTACTTTGAAGGGGACAGGAACCATTAGTTAATAAGTTGAATTTTGTATTTTTTACAGGCTCAGTCTTGGAACTTTATGGACAAAGGTTGTATTATTCAACACAAAGATCCAAAATGAATATTCCTGATATCACTGTGAACTGCATATTCACTTTGTGTGACCTGAATTTCTCATGGTGCTGGGTTTCAGATGCATGGAGTGAAGTCACACAAGATGGGAGGATAATATTAAAAGAGATTTTTTTAGAAATAATTTGCGAAGATATGTATTTAGTTGACTCAGGATAGACAGTGGCAGGATTTTGTGAACATCTCAATGAAGCTTTGGGTCTCATATTGGCAGATTTCCTGATGACTTGAATGACTGTTGACTGATGAAGAAACACATTTTGCACCGCAGTTGGTTAGTTTCTTAAGTAGATAGTCGAAGTATGAAGATGGCTTGAATTTGGTTATTAATTTTTTGCTCTGCATTTTTTTTATACAGATTTACTAAGTGCAAAGCTACCATCTGTCCCAGAGGAGTATATCCCAGATGACATGTTCCGTGGGAGGAGTGTTGGATTGGATGTCCTGGGTATCCAGCCAGAAGCCGCAGTGGCACAGACACAAATGGCGCAGCAACCCATGGAGCAGGCGCCCCAAAGCAGTCCATTGCAGTATACTGCTACCATCTATGCCCAGCCAGAAACAGACAGCAGCTTCAGTGCTTTTGCTCCAGGTTCCTTGCAGCAGGGTACATATATTATCGAAATGACAGAAAGATGTTTATGTCCATTAACTTGCTTGGTTCATTAGTTGGCATCCCAAAATGTTTTCTTCAGAATGCTCTGAACAGGTTGGTATAGTGGAACTGGTCACCATTTATATCTGAGAGGTATCTGCTTCAAATCTCATCCGTCCTACTGGCTGTCTTGATTTAGGATGCAAGTAGAGATTTCTCAACATTATGCTGGTTTTCCTTTCAGGAATTCTGTTCTGTAGAATATGAAGCAACATGGCCACCATATGTTGAGCCTTTTGGTTCATAGTAATAACTAACGAGCTGTTTGAGTTCTGTACATGGAATTTTATATGGAGGTAGATTATAAACATACTTATACTTCTGGCGTGAGTAACTTTCAGGAGTGCCTGTTAAATTCGTTCCAGCCATCCGTGTCAATGCATGAAACAGCTTGAGAACTGCTGAAACGTTTTTCTTGAAATCTGATGTTGGGTAATTCTAACAAGGTTTGTTCACATGTTCCAATTTTATTTAAAATCAGACAAAATTAGGGGACAGTGTTCATGAAGACCCACATGAATTTCTGCAAGTTCTTGCTTCTTAAATCACTCTTCATAGCATATCAGTAATGTTGTCTGAATTACTTCTTGAAGTCAGTCAGTCCTTGAGCTTGACAATATTCCTGGGGGCAGTTAAGGTAAGCTTTCCGTTTGTGATGCCCCCACAGAAAAAAAAAAAAAGGCACATGCGCTGAAATCTGGCCATCAAAGATGGCTTCCTGTTACTTCCTCCCTCTTAGGTCAACATATTCTCATCACCACCCTGTTCTCAGGTGCTCCCAGTCTGTGTTCATCTTTTAATGTAAGAGACCAAATTTCACACCCATAACAAAACCACAGTTGTGTTTGTCTTGATATTGACATTTTTAGGAGTCAGATGGGATGAAAAAATATTCTGAACTGAATGTCAGCAAGCATTCCCTAAATGCAATCTGCTGTTAATTTTTTAGTGAATGCAGGTTTTATGTGTTACTGTCATTCCCAAATATTCTAACTTTGTCATATATGCAAGGCATTTATTGGCTATCTTTATGTTATTCTTTTTGTCCTACATTCTGTGTTTACTTCTAGAACTTCCTTACTAGCGACTCTTAGAAATATGTGTTTTTTCTCTGTGGTTTTTATGTTATATGTATTTATGTATAAATGTTAGAAAAATGCATAAAAAGACTCTTGATTCTTTTAACCCACATATTGCAAATAAGGAATTTCCCATTATATGATCATAATTCAAAATTAATCAGATTTTTGTGACATTTTGTATAATAAAACATCTGAAAGAGAGTAATCATTTTTTCTCACTATGCAACTTCATCTCTTTTCTGTCCATATTCATACATTCTTGTTATTTGTTTATGTATTTATTTCATGAATGAGATTCCATTACCATTTTTCAAGTTTGAATGAGTTCTGTAGACAGAATCAGTGTAACAGCATTTATATTAAAGAGCCTGTTTTTACATCCACTTGCTTTTGTTTTGTCAGCTGCTGCTCAGACTGCATATGAAGATGTGTCATCGGTTAACAAGGTTCGCACTCTTCGTTCATCACCACGCAGTCATCCCCAACACCTACAGAATCAGCAGACGCAAGCAACACCGCTTCCCGTGCCTCAGCAGTCTCATGCATTATTTCAGCAGCCGTCTTCAGCACCGCAGCAGCAGGTTGTTCTCTGTTCGTCACCACAGTACCAAGCCTTCAGCATGAGTGATTTAGGTTCATCCAGTTCTCCCAGTCATTCTCCCCCTTCACAACCCCCACCATCCCCTCAACTGCCCAGTTACGCCCTTTCATCTCAAGGAGCTCAGTGTTACAAGCAGCCATATCATCGGCCTGGTCCCCAACAGCAGGCTGGCTTTGCGAGTTTTCGTCTCCCATCCTCTCCAGTGGCCATTTCCCCCAGTCCCACCCCTGGTTCAGAACCACCCAGTCTTAGGCAGTCCATCACATCACCCACTGTAAAGAGCCCGTCACTTCGATCTAACAGTCTACCCAGGCTGCAGGATGACACATTTGTTATGCCCAAAGTAAGTACCATGATTGTTCCAATGTGAGCTGCTTGTTTATGCCAGTTGTCCTGTGCCGTATGCTTTGAGCCATGTTTGTGCACTTGTGAAGTACACAGATGCTTTTGTGCTCCACGTAAAGTTCAAATGGTTTGGCTTTTGCTGAGTAGTTTCCTTATTTTGTACAAATTTGAACAGTTTTGCTATAACTGTGTGAAGTCTGGGAGCAGTTGAATTAAAGAAAGCGATGTAACTAACATAATCCATGGAACAGAAGATAGTTAATCTTATGGTCAAATTTTTCTGTTAATGAACACAGCTGCTTGTCATCATCATGATTTCAAAGTCCTCAATTCAGTACCTAGTTCACATCTTCACAAACTATTGCTGTAAGATTCATTTTAATGTTGTCGTCCTATCTATGTCTTCTCCTAATTGGTCTTTCCATGACTTTGTGTCCTCAGTGCATGTTACATTTGTTGCTCATATCCTCCTTTGTATGTATCATTTCAAAAGCACAAAGCATTGAACAGGTTGGTCTGAAGGTGGGACTTACATTCAGGGAATGCTGGGTTCAAACGACTGAGCCACTGGCTGTCGTGTCTGAGGTTTTCCATGGCTTTTGTCTGTCCCTTCAGCCAAATTTTGGGATAGGAACCTATTTAGGGCACGACCACTTTGTTCCATACCCTTTCTAATTCATCAGCTATCTTACCATGCAACACTGTGTGTCCTTAAAATTGAAAGCACTGTTAAATACCCACAAAAAATGGGGGCACGAAGGAATGATAAAATTATGCCCTTAAAAGGTTAATCACACAAAGACAGTACTAGATGAAGGGTGAAGATTATGACCTGTTCGTTATGAAATGTTTTCTCTTGTTCTGCTCCTTTGTCTCTCTTAGATTTTAGTAATACCCTTAGTACTGTTTCTTTTCTGTCCCCAGAGTGAGAAGTGAAGTTCTAAACAACATACTGTCTTGTGTATTAGTTGGATTGGTAATTGGATTTATTAACAACCTACCGTTCCACAGGTGGCATTGAATTCCTAGTGGAACGTTCTCAAAGTACAGGGGTAGGTGACTTTGCAGAAACTCCCTGTAAGACTCTTCTGTGAGATGACCCTCGAAGAAGTGTGGCCCAATTAGATAATTTCCTATTAATCCACACCACACATTTACAGAATACCTGTGTTGGTCACTATGTCCTGTTACGTTTCGTGGAATTTAATGTGCCCAAGTGTGCAAATTTCTTGTGTTAGTTATGCCATCATTGGTGAATGTACGTTTCATCTGTGAATAAGATGTGTGGAAGAAAATCCAAATTTTCTTGAAGCCATTCATGAAATTCCACACGAGGTGCATAATCTTGAGCAAAAGTTGTTGGACTCTCTGTAGATGGTATTGGATGCAGACCGTGAGAATATAATATTCTCCATACTTGAGTGGGAGGTATGCCTGTTGTGCACGCAATTCTGCACACACTTGAAGTTGGGCTTCTCTGAACTGCTTCAGGAACGTCCTTCTCGCTATTATTGGTTTGCTGAGCACCCCAATACTCCATTCCCCCACATCTGTGTTCTGTTTTGCACACTCAGATTACTGATCCACCTTGAAGATGGAAAAAGCAGATTTCTGCAAGCGGTTGATGAACCACACTGCATGTCCCCACATTCCAGAAGGCAGTACTCTTCCTGTCTAGCATTGTTCCAAAAAGTGAAGTATGCTGTACCACTTCGCGGCATTGCCTAAATTTTCTTGTTGCTTTGTACCTATTGTTGAAGAAATATGGTGGCTGTAACAGGGAGTAGAATTTGTTAACAACACCTTTTGGACTGAGAAGGAGATGGAAAAGCTATATTAAGATTGATCTTAAGTAAATTCAGTTGTTACTAAGATGTGCTCTGAATTCAGTTCTCTTAGGATTCTGCACAGCTTCGGGCTTCAGTGTGTGCAAAGTGTCAGATGAATCTACTGTGCGCAAAAATTACGTGAAGCAGTGTTACAGTCTTACAATTGGAAGCACTAGAGATAAGATTCAAGATAATTTTGTGTGGGTATCAATCGACAAAACACAAGATTGTGAGGGACGGTTTATTGCAAATTGTATAGTTGGATCCCTTAATAAGAATGAACAATCTACCCCATATCTTCTTGCGGTAGAGCAATCTGAAACCACAAATAGCTCCTCAGTTTCCGAATTTTTTATCAGTTCCATGAATTTACTATGGCCGAATGGCATTCATTAGGAGTGCATATTGCTCTTTGTGACTGATGCCGCAAGTTATATGATGAAAGCCGGTACTGTTCTTAAAGTTATATTTCCAAATATGACACATTTGACTTGCCTTGTCCATGGGTTGCACCGTGTTGCAGAAATGATTAGTGCAAATTTTCCGCTTGTTGACAAGTTGGTGTCTTGTGAAGAAGGTATTTGTTAAAGCGTGATACAGAAAATAAGCCTTTAAAGCAGCAGCACCAAGCGTTCCACTTCCGCCAGAACCAATTTTAACGCGCTGGGGCACGTTGCTGTGTTCAGCGAGTTATTATACCGAGCATTTAGAAATTGTTAGGAATGTCGTGAATACATTTGATCCCAAAAGTGCAGCATCAATTCAAATTGCCCAAAATGAACTAAAAAATGCAGAACTAGAAACTAATCTTTCCTATATATCTGCTCACTTCTCTCATCTTCCATCCGGCATTTTCACACTGGAGGCAAGCAATAGCAATACTACTTTGTATCAGTCGTTAAGTGTGTTCAGAACCACTGTTTCCAAATTGAATTCGGTTCCTGGAAGAGTTGGTGAAGTAGTAATCGAAAAAGTACACAGCATTCTTTCAAAAAATCCAGGATATGAACAGATTTGTGAAATTGAAGAAATTTTAGCCGGTAAACATACTGAACTGCCAAGTAAAAAATCACTACCAGTGGAGCAAATAGCGGCTTTTGTACATGCGCCCCTAAGTTCCTGTGAGGTGGAAAGAAGTTTTTCCCGCTATAAGGACATCTTACGAGACAATAGGAGGTTATTAACTATGGAAAACATAAAACATTTAGTAATTGTGAACTGCAACAGAAGAGAAATTGAAAGTTCGGAGAGCTAAATGTGAGTACCATTGGTTTTTTAAATTTGTAATGAAATGTTGGCTTTGCTGCATGTTTTGTAGTATTTAAGTATAGCTTTTTATTGCAAGTGAGTCATTCAGTGATTACATAAAATGAACTTAAATATTGATTTGTTGGTCTTAAAATAATGTAAAATCAATTTTAATATTTGGTATAAATTTTTATGTGCATATTTTAGTGCATATTTCGGAAGTTTTTCATGCATAAATGCGTACATATTTAAGGGATTATTGGGGCATAAAAATTCGGTCCCTAGTGAAGAGATACCCTTCATCTTCCATCACAGTACGGTCCAGAAAGTCATCACCTTGATCCACATAATGCGCAAGGAATGCCTGCCCTGCAGTCCCTCGATTTCTCTTGTGATCGTCTGTAAACATTTTTGGGAGCAAACTTGTGCACAGTTTCCAATAGCCTAATCTTTTTGTAACAGAGATTCATGGAGAACTGTTCTTCACACTTCTGGACATTGTTGATGAAGTTAATTGATGGTTAAACGTCTGTCAGCACAAATGTTTTCAGCAATTTTTTGGATGATTTCATCAGTGACAATAAATGACCTTCCACTCCTTATTTCATCATGAACATCATTACTTCCCGCTTCAAATTCACGACACCATTTTGCCACGTTTTGCCTGTTCATGACATCCTCGCCATAAACAGAAACAAGTTGGCACTGAATTTCAGCAGCTGTTTCTCCTTTTGCATGAAGAAAACGAATTACTGCATGAACTTCACATTTGGTGGGATTTTGAATGTACACGGCCTTGTTAAACACACACTGTGGCCAGTGAACTCTGCCCTTCACAGTTCCTATCTCACACAGCACCACTGCCATTTCTGAAAAAAAAAAGTCCCTTTCATTTTTACTGGACTTGTATCTTTACTTTCCGAATATCCCTCATAGTGTGAATGCCCGGAGTGTGTCACTTCAAAACCTGTAAATATTAATGGTATGGTGTCTTGGCACAGGACAACTTTTGCATTTCTTACTGTTTACTTTTCATGTGGTAGAAGTAATTTATACAGTGTTAGCCTTCTTTAGTCTCATTGCCTTGTCTGCTTAAGTGCTAATATTGAATCATAGTTTTTCTGTTTGATGCATGCTGTGGTTTTTTTTTTTTTTTTTTTTTTTTTA